ACAAACAAGTGGGTCCTAGAGCAGATGAAACCAGAAACCTCCCTGGGAGCCAAAATGACCAAACTGAGGCTGTTGTGCTTTGGACACATAATGAGAACTCTTTGGAAAAAACAGTAATGCTGGGAAAGGTGGAGGGAAGTAAGAGAGGAAGGCCTCATGCCAGATGGATGGACTCTTATTATTAAGGAGGACACGGATATTAAGGTGTTGCAGGAATTAGCAGAGCATTGGAGGACAGAAGATCTTGGAGATGTCTCATCCATAGGGCTGCTATGAGTCAAGATCGACTCAAGGACAGTTAACAACGTGTGTGTGTGTGTATACACACACACACACACACTTGTTGTTGTTAACTGCCCTTGAGTCAATACATAGCAGTGGCTCAAGTGGTTAAGATACTGACTCTGTTAATAATAATAATATTCTCTCTCAGCCTCAGGGGAAGGCAATGGCCAACCTCCTCTGAGCAAATCTTGCCAAACAACCTCCATGATAGGTTTGCCTCAGGGTCATCATAAGTCAAAAAGGGCTTGAAGGCACACAACAAGAAATTTTGTGTGTGTGTGTGTGTGTATAATGTTCATATATAGTCAGGTATGTGTGTGAACATTTAATAGTCATACATAGAGCCATATCTATATTGATCAATGTGGTGTAATGGTTTGAGGCTTGAGTTATGATTCTCAGCCATCGAAACCCATTGGCTGAGCTTTCCACATGATTGAGGAACCTGTTTTTGCCCCCGTGTGGTGTAGTGGTTTGAGTGTTGGACTATAACTCTGGAGACCGTGGTTCAAATCCTCACTTGGCTTTAGAAACCTCCTGGATGACCTAGAGCAAGTCACACACTCTTAGCCTCAGCGATGGCAATGAGAAACCTCCTCTAAAGAAATGTGCCAAGAAAACCCTATGATAGGTTTGCTTAGGGTTGCCATAAGTCAGAAACGATTTGGAGGCACAACAGCAACCATATATATGTGTGTGTGTGCTTGCGTGTGTGTGTGTTCGAAGAGGAAAATCTGGTCTTTCTTTTCCCTCTTTGCTGTACTGGGATGCATGCATCCACACTGAGAAATAAAGCAGTTTGACACCACTTTAACTCCCATAATTCTTATCCAACAGAAACCTGGGATATGTTGTTCAGTGATTCTCCAGGAAATCAGGCTGAATACCTCACCATACTACAAATCCCAATATTCCACAGCATAGAACCATGGCAGTTAAAATGGTGTCAAACTCTACTTCTGCAGTGTGGAAGAGCTGCTGGTCTACTTCACCAAAATGGTGGGTACCCTCTCAAGTGTGTTGGTCTCTAATTCCCATTATCGCCATCCACCACAGCATGGCTGGTTGGGAAAGATGAGGATGGCCTCATCTGCACTGCAGAAATAATGCAGTTTGACACCACAGCTCCATCCTATGGGATCCTTGGATTTTTAGTTTGTTGTGCCACCAGAGCTCTCTGAACTACAATTCCCTAGCATTGAGCCAGAGCAGTTAAAGAGCGGTGTCAAACTGCATTATTTCCGCAGTGCGCATGCAGTCCAAGTCCACAGTAAAAATGTCAACAAGGGTAAATATAATCATGCAAATCATAGAATCATAGAGTTGGAAGAGACCACAAGGGCCATCCAGTCCAACCCCCTGCCATGCAGGAACTCAAAATCAAAGCATCCCCGACTGATGGCCATCCAGCCTCTGTTTAAAGATCTCCAAAGAAGGAGACTCCACCACATTTCGAGGGATTGTGTTCCACTGATTAACTATCAGGAAGTTCCTCCTAATGTTGGAAGTGGACTCTCTTTTCCTGTAGCTTGCATTAGTTGTTCCGGGTCCTATTCTCTGGAGCAGCAGAAAACAAGCTAGTGCTTTCCTCAATATGACGTTCCTTCAAATATTTAAAGAGGGCTATCATATCCCCTCTTAACCATCTCTTCTCCAGGCTAAGCATACCCAGTTCCCTAAGTCGTTCCTCCTCTGGACACGCTCCAGTTTTTCAACCTCCTTTTTGAATTGTGGTGCCCAGAACTGAACGAAGTATTCCAGTTAGGGCATGACCAAAGCATAATACAGTGGCACTATTCCCTTGATCTAGACCAGGGGTAGGCAACCTAAGGCCCGGGGGCCGGATGCGGCCCCCCAAGGCCTTTGGACCAGCCCCAGGCCAGTCCTGCTGCCGCCGCCGCCTGCCATGATGATATTGATTATTGTTGTTATTACTTGTTCTTGGGGTTTTCTTGGCAAAATCTCCACAGGGGTTTTGCCATGACTTTTCTAGGGCTGAGAGAGTGTGCATGCTTATGATGATGATGATGATGATGATGATGGTTCGGCCCCCCCTAATTGTCTGAGGGACAGTAACCTGGCCCCCAGCTCAAAAAGGTTGCCTACCCCTGATCTAGACACTATATTTCTATTGATGCAGCCTAGGATTGCATTGGCCTTTTTAGCTACGGCATCAAACTGTTAACTCATGTTCAAGTATTGTGGTCTCCTAGGACTCCTAAATCCCTTTCACAGGTAGTCTCGTTAAGCCAGGTGTTCCCCATCTTATCTCTGCATCTCAATTTTATTTTATTTTATTTTATTTTTTGCCCTAAGTGCAGTATCTTGCATTTCTCCATGTTGAAATTCATTTTGTTATCTTTGGCCTAGCTTTCTAATCTATTAAGGTCAAATACTTTCCTCATCCTGAGGAAACACTCCAGAATTAAGATACCAAGGTATCCATTGGATCCTTAAAAATTAACAATTCTTTTATAATATGAGCTTTTGTATACTCATACGCTGTGATAGATTTGATAGTCTTTAAGATGCCTCAGGTCTCTTTATTGTTTTAGTTTTGTAGTATTTTGAGATGGATGGCAACCATGTATGCTTATTCATGCACAAAGTCTTTTTGGAAATGCTACATAAGCTGGTTGTTAAGTCTACCAAACCTCAACATGGCCAGCACACCGTACTGGCCAAGGTTATTAACAACTACTGCACAGCCTTTAAAAAGAAACTTGCAGGAATACATGCAGTGAGTTGAATGCAGATAGATGCAAAAGTGTCGAACCTGTCAGGTAAGGGAAAGACAGGATAGACATTTGAAACCTGTCCCATGTTTTGATCCACTAAAGACCCAAGCTCTCCTGTCAGCCTGCCTTCTGATCTGCTAGAGTTTTTGCTGAGTATCAGGTCAATATTTAATAAAACAACCAATGTACTCTAAGTGGAGCATCTCTAGAAGACATAATGAAAGCTGCACTTACTGCAAAATGCAGCATCTAGACCTATGATCAGAATGCTACATAGAAATCATATAGCACTGGCTTTATATTTTATTTGGGTTTTGGATTCAAAGTCAAGGTACTAGTGATAATGTTTAAGACCATAAATAGCTTGGCATCTTGATACTTGGAGTGACTCTTCCTATATATGCCTGCTGGTGTGCATCTGCCTTGTAGAAATAATGCAGTTTGACTCCACTTTAACTGCTGAGGCTCCATCCTATGAAATCCTGGGATTTGTCATTTGCAATGTCTTTAGCCTTCTCTGCCAAAAAGTACTATTGACTCACAAAACTACAAATCCTAGGATTCTCTAGGATGTAGCCATGGCAGTTAAAGTGATATCGAACTGCATTATTCATACCTTGTAGCTGCACCCCTGGAGAATTTATTTCTCTTGGAGGAATCTTCCTCTTCCACGTAGGAAAAAGTCTTGTCTGCTGTGGCATCCCAGGTCCAAAATAATCCAGTTTGAGACCACTTTAACTGCCCTGGCTCGGTGCTAGGGAATCTTGGGAATTGTAGTTTATTGTGGCACCAGAGAAGGCGAAATGCTCACAAAAGTGCATTTCTCAGGATTCTTTAACACTGAACCAGGACAATAGTGGTCTCAAACTGGATTATTTCAGCAGTGTGTTTTGGACCCCCAGTGATGGAATATCCTATCAGAAGCTTAATGAGCACCAGCACTACCGGTAATTCCAGCATCAAATAAAAACATGGCTTTTTTTGTGACAACCTTTGGGACCAGTTAATTAAAAAAAAATTGATATATTACTAAATTACTAAAAAAAAAACACACACACAAGTAAAGAACACACAGAACACAGCATCCTCCAATGCCATAGAGATATAATAATGAGTAAGTAAAATTTTCCTTAATTTACTATGTGGAGCAGGTAGACAATAAGGACAATATTTTGAATAATTAATAAATGAGACTCATATTGCATAGAATAAATTATGTGGTTGGTCCTTACTTTTTTCATGCTTGCATCTGATCAGCTTTTCCATATTCCAAAGAACAGTGTTTTTCCAACTATGAAGAGATGAGATCAATTGCATCTTTTTGATGGCATCCTATTTGTAATCTTGTCACTAGGCAGAAAAAGCCAATTACCTCTTGATGCAGGGTATGTTAATTGAGTACCAAAAATGTTCTTGAGAAACCTGTTGCTGGATCAGCTTCAGCCTTTTTGTGGAAGTGGGGGGAAGCAGTAACCCATGTGCTTGGTTTTAAATAGTCTTGTTTTAACTTGTCAGATTGTTAAATATGTTCTCAGCCCATTAAACTACTGTTCCTTTAAAAAAAAACTTTAAAAATTGATTGTATTTTATGCCACATTGAAATCCTTCAATAAACAGCAAGATAGAAATAGTTCAGTAAAAATAAATAATACATAAATAAGAGAGTACTGAAATTATTTTATTTATTTATTTGATTTTTATTCCTTCCTGTCTCCTAAAGATGTGTTCAAGTCTTTTAACAAAATGTTTTTAAAATGGGTTTTACAAAATATGCTTAGAGCATAGCATAAAAACAAATACATGAAAGGCACAATGAAAAGTATTTCCACAAAAGGTGCACCCAACTAATTAGGGCCCTTTTAAAATGTGACCATCTTAATATACTAAAGACATTGTTGCTGTGTGCATTCAAGTCTTTTCTGACCTATGGTAACTCTAAGGTGAACCAGTCACAGGTTTTTCTTGGAAAGGTTTGTTCAGAGGGGATTTGCCCTTGTCTTTCTCCGAGGCTGAGAGAATGTGACTCCCCCAAGATCACCCACTGGCTTTGCATAGCCAAGCAGGGATTCAAACCCTTATTTCCAGAGTCCTAGTCGAACATTCAGTCCACTACACCATGCTGGCTCTCTTGCTACAAGGCATGCATGAATTTTCAAAAAAGTGTTCCTTTGAGTATTCCCCTTTTTTTCTCATGTGGAAGTTTGAAGAATGCAAAAGGTGACATCCCATTCTGTTCTGAACAGCAGAATATAGACTGCAGAACTGGAACAAACCTAAAGACAAAGACTGAAGTGTGTTCACTGGTTTTATTTTACAATGGCCTACATTTTTCTTGAATGTGCTGCATTTTGCAGAGCCTTCTCTTTTGTGGTTAGGACATCTGGTCACCCTGTTTCCATGCCATTCCCATTTTCTTCTTATTCAGTTAATCTTGCTTTCAGGAGTGCTGCAGTGTCTGTATCTTGGAATCATTGTGCTTCTAGGAAATCATCTCGTTTCTTCCTGTTCCTAATGATGATGGCAGAAAGATAGAGTAAAGCATATTATAAATACAGTAGCCCCACCTCCACATTTCCTGGGGTTAGGGGAGCAGGACCCCCACGAAATGGAAAAACCACAAATAAAAAAAACACTCTTTTTTAACCTGAGAGAACACCTCTAGGAATCTCTAGGTCTTCCAGTGCAATTCTGTGGTCAACATCTACTGTAAGTTGACCATAGAATTGCACTGGAAGACCTACAGTTGCCTAGAAAAGTGTTCTCTCTAAACATCTCTGGGTCCTCCAGCA